CACCATCGGGAATGCCTCCTCATAAACTGAACTTACAGGTTGGTGCAATAGTTATGCTGCTTCGTAATTTAGATGTCCATCAAGGACTTTGCAATGGATCTCGACTTATTGTGAAACAACTACATAATCACACTATCGATTGCGAAGTTGCGACGGGATCCAACAAAGGAAACCGAGTTCTCATACCAAGGGTTAGTTTAACACCTTCAGACAGCTTTATGCCTTTTAAGTTACGCAGGCATCAGTTTCCCGTTCGCCTATCATTCGCTATGACAATCAATAAATCGCAAGACAAACATTCAATCGGTTAGGACTACTGCTGCCACAACCAGTATTCAGTCACGGTCAACTTTACGTGGCATTTTCACGAGTGCGCTCCCTTGCATCTATTCGCGTACAATTCATTGATGAAAAACAAAATCAGAAATCAAATAGAACCAAGAATGTGGTATTTTCTGAAGTCTTGTAAATATTGTAAGTATAAACTGTGAATAGTGTAAATGGTAGTGTAAATAATGTACATAGTGTAAATATATATTGTATATAGTGAGAAACAAGTCAAGCCCACCTCCTCGTGGTGTTTCCTGGGTAATGCTAACGGGCCTCTGCGCACTTCTCTTAAATTACACAACACATGATAATCATACTTCGCCCACAACCGAAAAAACGGTGCAATTTGCACGGAGTATAGCTAGTAGATATATATTTAACCAAAAACTTGGATACACAGGATAATTTCAATTCATTTAGAAAAAAACGGCTAGATAAAGTTTTCTTTACTTATAATGATAAATCATGTATAGATGATGGCAGTCTGAGTACACCCCTAATATTCGTTCGAAAGTCAAGTAAATGCTTCAAACTGCATACGCACCGGTGTAGGTAACACGAATAATAATTATCGGTATTATAATTATCATTCCAATAAAGCGTATTGATGAAAATAAGAAGAAAATTGAAAATAAAATTTTATCTTGTCTATAATCAGATATTAACTTGTCGAAAAAATCGCCAGTTTACGGTAACCACGTTTAGAACATGCAATAACACTCTTAAGCCAAAAGCTTTACGATGCTATCACGCACAAGATACTTTTCTTCTTATCTAAAATCCATCTTTGTCGGCACATCACACTATTTCGTGCTTTCCCACTTCAGATACGTTCCTACATAGGCTTCAAGCGCAACTTCAAGCGCCTATAGGAACTATTTTCGTCCTCAATTTTGTCCAAATTCATGCACCCTGGCACCTCCTTTTTTCTTCACGCTTATGCAAGCCACAGAGTACCGGTCATGCTTCCGATGGTAACTCTCTTGCAGGCCCTTGTGGCTTACGAACGATCTGTACTGCCAAGCGAATTGATTGACCTTATTCGGGTGAAATGATTACTTTCACCGAGAAACAATCGAATTTAAAATATGACGTGCTGATGGCATGCGTAGACAACGATCCTTGAATCTCAACGTTTGTGAAATATAGGTATGAAAATGAATCAGACAAGATTTTCTTCACTATTGTAAGGGCAAAACATAGTGCTATTGGGACCAATTGTGGGGTTTAGAAGGATCCTCTTTCATATGGCCTCAACAACACCATGTTTTGCCCTTACAATAGTGAAGAAAATCTTGTCTGATTCATTTTCATACCTATATTTCACAAACCTTGAGATTCAAGGATCGTTGTCTACACATGCCATCAGCACGTCATATCTTAAATTCGATTGTTTCTCGGTGAAAGTGATCATTTCACCCGAATAACGTCAATCAATTCGCTTGACAGTACAAACCGTTTCATTGTTAGATATACAGGTTTGTTTGGTTTTTGATTGAATTTACAAAACAAATTGCTATTGCTGTCACGAGAGTAATTTTTAAAATCTCGTACGACGATAGTTGTTTAAAAAGACCTGTTGCTACTAACCCTAGAGAACGTACTTGGGGCCGAGTACCCTAGTGAACGTACTTGTGGGCAAGTACTTGGGCCAAGTACTTCGTTTGCGTAATGAAGCCGGTACTTGTCTTTTTTCCTGACTTTTTACGAGACCGGAACCAAGAAAAATCTTTTTCACGGGACCGGGACCTAGAGGTCTGCGGGACGGTCCCGGTCCTGCGGGTTGTTCCGGGTCCCAGGCGGCTTTTAATGGGGCCGAGACCAGGTTTTTTTGAAAATAGCCTTGTATAGAGTATAAAAATTTCCTTGCCTCGGTGCTTGTTTGTATGTAGGCACTAGTTCTGCTAGAAAAAACTCACACAAAATTCTAAAATTTCTCAGTTAATACCACCCACGCATGCTGTCCCATTAATTAATTCGCATTACAACGCGCTGACTTTCAAACTACCTGCGTTACCTTGGAAAAATATTTACGGGACCACGGGACCGGGACCAAAAATGAGTTCTTTCCACGGGACCGGGACCAAAAAGGTTTGGTCCCGCAGACCTCTACTTCTTAGCAATTAGGCAAGTATTTTGATCATTGACAAGTACTTAGCAAGTGATCAAGTACTTGCATCAAGTACGTTTTCTAGGGAAGTCCTGATATGAATATCTTACTGTATTTTTAAACTTTTTTTGATGAATCTCTTACTTGACGAACACATATGTGCAATTGTATCGGATTACGTTTATATAAATACAACAAGTGCCAAGCTTCTGAGCGTATTTTCAAGCGTATTTTCAATGTATACAGCCGTATATATGCAGTAATCTCACTACGTACGGCTCGCATTTCTGTGACAGATAATACGGACAGAATACGGTCCGCTTAGATGTCGTAAATCATTTGTAAACCATCGTATATGGGCCGTATAATTCAACCGGGGTATACACAAAAACAATATTACATATCTCGAAAGTTTCGAACCATTAACATATCGTCTACAACATCTGGATTTAATGATTGTCTTCGTTTTTCTAAAATCCTTCTAGATGAACTAAAAACACGGTGTGATGTCGCTGAACTTACAGGAACTTCATGTAACAATTTTGCTAATACAGCAAGTTGTGGAAATGTTATAGGGTTTGTTCCACTATTTTAATCATGTACCATCTTTTATAAACGAAATTTTTGTGTTAAGATAATGCTCAACTTCATCGGGTTCATCATCCGAGTCGTCTTCGACAACTCCTGCAGATTCTCCGATAATATCACATTCCATAACCAAATTGTTTTTCTTTTTTTTGTGATTTATTTGTGCTTCTAGAACTCGTTCTAAATATACAAGAGATGTCAATAATATTTAATGTGCAAAATTTGTTACGGGTTAACAGGTTACGACATTCGTACTCTGCAACCTGTCCTGTAAAAATTTTTGTAACCTAGCTCTGTTCTGCCCTGCTACTGGCATAACCTCCAAGGCTCTAGTCTGGATGCAGTTTTATAGTCAATTAAATTTATTTAAGATAATGATCAAGATTAAATAAAAAGGACGAAAAACAAAATCTTTGAATATTCAAAACGATGAAAGTACAAAAAAATGGATGAAAATGGTATTAATACAGATGAAGTTAGTCAAAATAAAATAAGAAAAAGCAAAGTTAAGAAAATTAGATAGTTCGATCGATGATAAATAAAAAACAAGGAAAAAAACAACATATCATTTGAAAAACACAGACAGTGATTTGAGGTAATAGAAGAATACAAAAAAGGGCCAACGAAAGTGAACGTGAGGATGACTCGTGAATTTACATCGTCTGCATGTGGATATACAATGAATTCAAAAGGTTTTATGTAAAAAAAGTGGACTACAAATTGATATTGTGCTTCTTGAGAAATGTATGTTAAATTAATTCGAAATAAAGATCCGAAATAGTTGGGAAAAAGTTATGTATAATGTTTTTATCGATTATCTTTAGGATGTAAAGGTTTTCTTCACATATTTCGCTCTATACAGTTCTACTGCAGCATTTCCTTGATCGCCCGCTGTTTTGCTCAAAACTTCTTCTGTTACAAAATCAGTCAGCATTTCAGCACCATGAGGGGAATTAATATCCAGCTTTCTACAACTTCCTGACGTCTCACGCGCAATTTCTTTGAAATTCTTTTCAGCTCCTGTAGCGAGGTAAAACGTATGAACAGGAATCTTTTTTTTTTCAATTTTCGTAATTCGTCTTCATAATAGGTTGGTATAGCAAATCTAGTTTGCTTCCAGTAGGCTTCACCGAGACGTGCTCGCTTTTGATCTACCTCAGACTTAGCATTGGCTGCAGCATCTCCTATTAAAATAACTTGAGAAATCGATTCTCGCATTCCACTTTCGTTAACTGCATGCCATAATCCGATTTCAATCGCTTCACGTCCTAGTCCACCTTCAGGACCGATCGTGTTCATAAATGCTCGTAAATGATTAGCTTTCGTCTCCCAGGAAGAAACTTCTAAAATCTTACTTTCTTTAGAGTTATAGTTTCGATATACAGCAAATTGCATAGAAAATGCATTTTTTGATAGTCTTTTTTCCTCTAAAACAGCAGAAGCGCGTTCGAACATCGTACAGACCGTGTCTTTGGCAGCAGACAATAAACTTGACATAGAGCCTGTTGCATCCATAAGTAAGAGTGTACGCGAAATCCCTGAAACTGTGTTCACTCCACAATTTTGTTTAGTTAAAAACATTTTGACAATATCTGTTTTTCCTTCGGACAATGCATTCATAAAATTTCTAGAAGCTTGATGCTCACACTTGCATTGTTCTATACCAACTTTTTTCCCAGCACATTTACTTTCATAATGTGTATTACGAGCTTTATCCAAAGTTGCATAAAGAGTAGAACCATTTATTTCGGGAATTTTCTTCTCCCAATCAGTACCAAGTACCCATTCTAAATCACTATCTAACAAAATCATCCTATATGAACCACGATCTCCTTGCCGTGCTCCTCTTCCAATTATTTGATATTCTTCAGATAGTTCTTCAGAAAAAAATGTTTGAAGTACATGAACTCCACCATTAGCTAACAGTTGCTGATTTTGACATATGAAATCAGTTCCTCGTCCAAATGTTCGAGTCAATAGGGTAACTCGACCGTCACTTGCCGCACGCTTAATAGATAGCTCTCTCTCTTTGGAAGAAACTTTCTCAGTAATAATTTGTATATTGAGTTTTATAGATGATAATTCTTCAGAATTGTAAAATGCCATTAATTTTTCTTCCGATTCAAAAAATACGAGAATGGCACGTTTAGCATTGCACATTGTATCAATTTCTCCACGAATTCTCATAAAATACTCTGATTTTTTTACCGCTTCTACATCATTATTAGAATTATAATTACGATTACTTTTTCCAAAAACTGATGGCATATAAGTATTCATGTGAATCTCATAAACATTTTTCAAGATATCCGTTTCTGGCTTAGCAAGTGTTTTTAGAGTACCAGTGACTCCTGCAATATAAGCAAATTCATGAGGTATTTCAGCATAAGAAAATGTCCCACAATTAATGATGATACCCACATTTGTTTCTAAACTTTCCTTACTAATAAAACCTTTTTGATTTTCATAATAATATGCCCAAACCGTATCATAACCACGAACTACATTTTCTGCTACGGATTCACCTTCAACATAAACAATTTTATCATTTTGTACAAGATATGTTGATGATTGAAATGATTTTAAAGCAGCCAACATATCATTTATGGCTTCATCGAAAAGAAAAAGCCAATTACTAAATCGAGAAGAACAAGCATGGTATGCTGACGAAGTTTTAACAGTATTCAATTCCAATGTATGTAAATTTCTATTTTCCCATAATGTGTCTAACAAAATCTTTATTGTGGTATCTTTTAAATATACCGAAGGTGTATAAAATCCACCATAATATTTTTCACTTAGGAAAACATCTACTTCATCAATTAACAACACTTTCGGACGAACGCGCCCTGTCGTTTGAACTACGTCTATGATATTCTTATTATTTATGATCATATCGTATACTTTTTCTCGTATATTACACTTTACATTCAAAAAGTTTTCGCATAATTTATTGAAAGTACCATATTCGATACGTTCCTCGATTCCAAGTGCTCGAAACACTGAAGCAAAGTCATTCTTATCTCGCATACTTAAATATTCACTATAGCATGAACAATTAACATCAACTCCAACAAGTGCAAAAACACAGGCAGTAATTGCCAGAACCACTGATTTACCTTCGCCTGTTCCTATCTGCACTAAATTATTTATCAAATGATTAGATTTTACTTTAGCAGCAACTATACCATGCTTTTTGATTGTTATATTCTCGCCACAATCAATACCAAGGATACGAAAAATGGCAATAACTTGTGCAACGTGTGGCATTAATAGATAAGCACGTGATTCATCAATACCACGGCTGTTATTATAATGTTGAGTATTTTTTAAAGTCCATATAGCAAAAATATGTGCTAACAATTCAGGAATTTTATCTCGGAATGAATATTTCCAAATAATAACATTCGTCTCTTGAACTACTTCTCCAATAAGAAACTTCGTTTGTGAAATTAATACTTCTAAATTAGGTTCGGTCTGAGTCTTCAGATTAAACGATCCTAAACTTCTCGATACTAAATCATCGTACGTTCGTCTGAATGTTTTGTAGCGCGAACATAGAACATCCTTAACAAGATCATCTCCCTCTAGTGCTCCCATGACATAATCAAGATCATCTTGTTTTTGCATTTTTTCACGTCGCTTTCTCCAATTTTCACCACTTAAACACGAATGTTCAGAAATTAATCGAGAGCCTACATCACTTCTCTCTAATATCATTGTTAGTTGTGAAAGAATCGAAGAACCATGTTTTGTTTTGTACGATTTTAAGACTTCATCTATTCTTTCATTGATTTTCGTATCAAACATCGAGATATTTTCAGCATAAAATTTCATTTTTTCGAGCAATTCAGCTACTTTTGTAACATCAGAACTTAAACTTGCAATGCCCTCGGATAACAACATTACTTTTTCCAAAATTTTTGCTTCTGCTAATTCTAAATTATCTCGAATTTTTATCTCTGGAACACGTAAACATTTATCAAATGATACAAGATGACTGTAATAGATACGAAATTGATCTGAGTTCAAGGATGAAAGTTCATTTTTTGATGCAGTAAAAAGAAGTTTCTCCTTAAGATCTTCGACTTTTTGCTTGAGTTCTGTTTCTAATCTTTGAAAATCTGTAGTTGATAATAAAATGTCTCCAAATTCTGAACTAATCGATTTCAATATTTTGAAAGACATCGCAAGAGCACTGAAAAATTTATCGCGTGTTGTTTCAAATCGTGTCGTTTCGTCACTAATTAACCCTAAAGATACATTTTTTTTCAAGTCATCTATCTTATTCTTTAATTCAGACATCATATCCGAATACAACTTAATATTTTTCATATCTGTCAAGAAAGTTTCTATTGACTTATGTCGACAAGACCAACTTCTAACCTTGTTTAAAAATTCGTTCGAGCGTTTCATTATATTTGCTATTTCAAGTAGAGACTTAATATCTAGCTCACTAATAGCAGTATCGAATCTACTAGATGTACTACAGAAATAATTATATATATTTTCCACTCCGGTTTTGATCTTTTTCGGGTAATAATTCGGGAAATTTTAGATGAAACTTTTCGCCAAACTCTATGTATAGGATTATATTAGTAACAGCTCGGTCAATCATTTGAATTTTCTCAATTTGGAACATACTACTGACAGTTTCTGTATAATCAATAACACTTGTATTTATTAATATACAACCATTGCTGTAAAAACGATCTACATCTGGAATGTTGCGTATATATTCTTTATGTGTAATGATTTCCTTCATACTATTTAAGGCATCCTGCATATTTTCATTATTTAATGCATTTTGCAGATTTCTCCAATGGTTCTCCAACTTTTCTTTAACCCCAGTATGCAACATTTCAAAAAGTTCATCTCTTTTCTCTTCTTCACATTGCAAAGCAAGTTCGCCTACTTTTTCAACGCTTAACGTGCCGACATTTTCCTTGAATTTACGTTTATATGCATTTTCCTCTTCAGCGAATTTCTCAGTATATTCATTAATTTTTGGCTTAAATAAACTTTTTAAGTCTTCTGGTAGAAAAGGTAATGCATGTCTTAATGGAGCAATCGCTGCAGAACGTTTTTCGATCGAAGCTTCGCATGCATTGTTTATAACTGTCTGAAAATGATCCCGAATATCGGCTGATATCGACTGAGAAACTTTATCATATTTCATACCACGAACTAAAGCTGCCTTATTTAATTTAGTTAAAAGTTCTCTAGGTGATTTTCTGGCATATGTTGTAGTATTTTTAAAGTCATATTTTGAAATATCGGTAGGTAAGTTTTTTAATCTCCGCCTCACTTCATTGACTTCCTTAGTAACATCTTCTAGGTCAAAATGACTGACTAACTCGTCATATACGTGATTAAAATTTTCCATGCTTTGTTCAGCTTCGAAAGCATCAACAGAATCCATGAAATCTTTAATAGATGTGAGTTCCGCTAAAAGCTTTGAGGATAACAATGTTTTGATGGATTCATCGAACTTAACCAGCTTCAGATTTAGTATTGTCGTAAACTAAGTTCATAATATTTTCTTGCTTTAAAACAGTACGAATCTTGTCGATATTGTCATTAACTTTTTTAATTTGCCTTTCATTAGTTTCCTTAAAATCTATTTTTAAATCGAGAGTATTGATAAATTTTCGAATACTTTGCAACAAAGGTTTTAAACAATTCTGTAACGAGTTCTTAATGCTAAGTATCTCTCTTGGATTGAACGTTTTTTCATGAATGTTTGCTAGTTCCATCTCTACCTCCTCAAATTCTCTGTCAGATATGTGCCTTAAAACATTATCATAGGTTTTCTTAGAGTCCCTAGTTAGATTAATCTGATACTTTTTATATAAGGCGCCGAATCCATCGGACACGAACTTGTCACCACAGAAGTAATCTGATCTCATCAATCTTTGCGCTATGTTTAATTGTTCTGTTAATTCTGTATTTCTACCAGAATATTTGTATTGTTCCATGAGATCACTCATAGTACGATGTTTTCTACTAAATTGTCCTTGCCAATAGTCTAGTTTTCTCTGTCCTTCTATACATTCGAAAACATGCTCGAAGTCACTTAGAGAAGATAATTCTTCTAGATGCGTTTCTAAATCTTGCGGACACTGAGAAGGAGCATCTGGAACATCAGTATTAGTTAAATTTTTGAACAATTTTTCGATTTTTTGATTAAGAAAAGAACCATATTCACTAATGTACTTGTTTAAGACTTCATGAGTTTCAACTGCAAGTTCTCTTAGATAAGTATTATGAATTTTTTCACAATTACTTATGTATAATAATGCGATATTTGCTGTCGACGCATCCAATCTATTATTAAAATTATAGGATTGCTTATGCTGCTGAAGTTCGGCAATACTTTTCTTCTTTTCTTTTATAATTTCAACGAGTGATTCAATACTGTGTTGTCCTTTCTCTTGCAGTAAATTTATACGTTCAGAAGAAACAGAATCATACGTCACTAATATGTCTTCATAGTCATGTTCGATTTCTGCATTTTGTTTCTTTTCTTCATTTTCAATCTCATTATTCAATTTACTTATATCTGAATAATCATATTTTTGTAAATAAATACAAGCTGGATCTAAATTATCATATTCTTCTTTTAGTCGTTCCAATTCTTTCAATTCTTGTTTCATTTGACATAGAGTTATATCTTTTAAATCAAATTTAGTTTGTATACGTTTCAAATTTTTCTGCATACTTTCTAGAAAACGTTGAATCAGTTCATCTTTAGACTTTTTTAATTGAGCCACAGTACGTTCTAGCACACTTAAAGGTTCAATCTTTTCAAAAATTTCTACTGCTTTAGACATGTTTTCAGGATATTTGAAGTTCAAATCTAATCTCATCAAGCTATCTTCTAACTGATAAAAATATTGCAGTAGCTCTTCAGTCACACGATTTATCAAAAGATCATGTGACCCTGGACTAACACGATTTGTCCAGTTGGCATTTTTCAAACGTGATAATAATCGAGCAATTTTTCCATAATTCGGAGTTTCTGATTGACGATCGGTAGATAAAAGTAACTGTTCTACATCTCGTTGGAGTTGATACATGTGTCCACGTATATTATCAACTGTAGAATAATAGACAGTAGCAGTCTTTGATTCTATTTCTGGAATAGTTCGAATCATATCTATTTGATTGACTAATGGTTCTGTATTTTCTAGAGCATACTCTTCACTTGCTTTAAGAATCTCTAGAATCCTATTATTTTTTTGACTGAAATAGTTTACTATCTTTTCAATCAAGGTATCGTAAATATCACTCGTACTTTTTACATTTTTTGCTGATTTATCGTCTTTCTTTGAGATTTCAATGTATGTAAAAATACTATCTTGAAGTACCGAATTATGTTTAGCTGATTTCAGTATTTCCACACAACCCTTAATGATTTTCACATCACTTTCACTTAATCTAACTCTCGTTAAAATAGGTTCGACTGTTTCGATGAAACTATTTAAGTGTTGCACGAGCGATTGAACGATATTTTTATATTCTTCTTCGACTAATCCATGTAAATGATTATTCAAAGTCGGCAGACATTTAGATATTTCAAAAATGATCTCAGCTACCTTGTTGAATTCATTATCGGAAATAGGTTTGCGCACAGATTGTACTAGATTTTGAAAGAGTTCTTCAAAATGTTTACAATTTTCATTGTATAATGCTTCAAGTTCTTTAAAAGAATGTTTGAGTCTAAAAAGATTATTGAAATAAACTCCTACCAAAGGACTGAACAAATCTTTTGCTGTCACAACTTGACTCATTTCCTGTAGCTCAACACGTATATTTTGCAGCAACGATTCAGGTGACAACAGATTTGATTCAAAATGTTCTTTCAATTTTTGAACTTGTCGAATATATTCAACAGAACTTTTGTATTCCTCAACATCTTCTTTTATTAATCCATCTTGACTAGCTAGCAAACGATTGAAGTTTTTCTGTACGTCTGCGCAATACTCCGTAATGTTTTCGCTTACAAAATGCAGGGCATCTTCATAAGCCTGTCGAGCCGGCGTATATTCAAGTAAAGTTTGTAACTTTTTTAAATAATATGCTACAAGATCAATATCCTTATGCTTTAGTGCACATCGGACACTTGCGTTGTCTCTTTGTGCTTGATTTTCAATACGTGCTTGTGTTTCTTCACTCATTGAAAATTGAAAAACTGTTTCTGGATACATAATACCGTGTACATCTAGTAATTTTCTAATTAAAGTCTTCGGATCTCCTCGAATGAGATCAATATTTTCAGCACCATTCTGAATTTTGTCAATCATATCTGTCAATATTGCCACAAAAATATTATCCTTTTGTAATGAACGATCTGTATCTACTTTCGAGCTTTTA